AGCCCCTTGTTTTAGGAAAGGCTTTTTCTCTGGTTAGCAGTAGAACAATTCCTATTAATGTGGCTTTGCTTCCAACAGACTTCGCAAACTTTTCCACCTTTGTTACTTATATTCAAAGCTGTCCCAGTGCCCCCCGGACCTCCTGCTGGGAGGAAGGGGAGGTGGGGGACCAAGGGAAGGAGGGAGCCCTCGCAGCAGCCCCACACCACACTTACCAAAAACGATGGTGGTGGAGCAACAGCCAGGGAACTGGCACTGCGAGCGCCCGGTGAGGAGGCGAGCCTGAGCCCGCAGCTAGGCCTTCACCTAGAGCGCAAGCTGGCAGTTAGGGCACAGGAGGAGAGGCAGGGGTGGCCCAGCTGCTGCCGCCGCCTTTCTCGCAGCTGGGAGGAGCTCTGCCGGCCAGATTCAGGAGGAGGATGCGCGGCGGCCACCAGCGCTCACCTCCAGCCCAAGCGCTTCTCCGTGCCGTAGCCGGGAAGGGCACGCTCAATTGGAGCCTCCCCCAGGCTTACTTCCCATTCAGCCGCAGAGCTCCTCCCGGGGGGGGAATCCGCATTTCCACGACACGCGTTCCACAACAGCATATGTGTGAACAGGTGTGCATCCGAGAAGCCCCCCGCCCTTTCTTCCCCCTCCCGCCTTATTCACCAGCACCAACGCTGCCCCGTTAGCCGCCCTGCCTCTCCCTGGGCGGGGCAGGGTGGGCAGGCTCCTGCTTCCCTACATGCATGCAGCCTCCAGCCAGGCTCCAGCCTGGGCCGGAGAAGGGCCCCCCCTCCGCAGCCGGGCAGGAGAGGACGAGAAAGGCCACGGCCACGGCTGGGAGGGTGAGCGCCGGGATGCACAGACCCACTGCCACGGGGAAAGCGCGTCTCCAGGCCCTGCCAGGAGGTTGGCATCTGCGCTTGCCTAGAGTGCAGGACATCCTCGGTCTGGCCCTGCCCGCAGCAGCAGGGAGGCTCGTCCAAGCAACGGCCAGGCTGTGGCAGAGGCCGAGGTCGGTCCCAGGTCCAGAAATGCAGGCAGCTTGGGGGTGGCCCGAGGAGCATGAGACTGCGGCCAGCCAAGGAGCGGAGAGAGGGTGCACCAGGAGACTCCATGGTGGTTCTGCCAGCACACCCAGTGGGCGCACAGAGTGGGGCAGAGGAAAACAAGGGCGGAGTCGTGTCTTCCTCTTTGGAGGGAGGTGGGGCCAGTGGTGGTGGGTGGTCCAGGAGTGAAGGGGAGTATAAAGGAGAACCGGAGGCGGCCAAGGAGGAAGTTGGTGTGTGCTGGAGCGAGGATGAGAGAGACTGAAGGCAGAGAAGCACAGGAAACCCAAGGGGCTGGGAGGGGCTGTAACCATCCCAACATGCCCCTGTGCTGAGGTCCCCTATCCCAGCTCCTCCATGGACTCTTGGCCACCCAACCCGACCCATGCGAACCACATGACTCTCTGGACGCACTCCTCTGTACCCTCTGGGCATCAAAGGAGGGTAGAACGGCAGCAGCGTCATGGCCACGGGTGGACAGTCTGGAGGACTGTGACAAAAGCCATTTAGCTAGTCTCTGCTCTCCTTAATTCCCACCCAATCATATTCCTCCTCAAGTTGATTGATTATGTTTTGGAGCAACAAACCATTCTTAGACTCAGTTCAAAACTCTATTTTCATATGATTCTGGCAGGCTGATTAAAATTAACACAAGCATATCCTCATCTGCAGTGTCGTTCCCTGCGAATTCCAACATCTTGTCAAGATGCTGCTGGAGATAAGCACCTTCCTGCATTCTTATACTAAACAAGCATTTCTGAAGGTAGAACTGGTTTTTAAAGGAGGATTTTACATGCAATCTTTCCAGTTCAGCCCAAACAGCCTTAGCAGTTGGCATCTTAATGACTCTTAATATCTGTCTATCTTTTAAACCAATGATAATAGCACCTCTTGCCTGGTCATTTTTGACATTCCATGCAGTCTGTTGCTCTGCATCATCAGCTGGACTGTCAGTCTGGATAAGAGTCCACAAGCCTTTTTTGATGAGATAGGTCTTCATGCTTTCTCTCCAAATTGCATAGTTGCTCTCCATGAGCCTATCTATCCAGTGACTATGCCGTGCAATGCAGGAGGTTGCCATCTTTGTTACTTTGTTCTCTCCTGCTTGTACCAAGATCCTCTAGTGATTTTTCTACCTTTAATCAAAGATATGCTTAATCTGGGCCATCGTAATCTCTGTTGGCAAAGTAATTAACATAGTGATGGTGCACAACCCGATTAAAGAGTAGATAAAGGTTTATTTAGTAACTAATATATTTGGTATGAAAGAGGAGAGATAGAGTTAGGTTTATAACTACATCTCTAGCTGAGAGAGAGGGAAATTAGTGTAACAGAACTTCCAAGAAGAAGGAGGAAATTGCCTTAGTGTAACAATCTGGAGACAGACAAGGAATGACATTTAACAGAAGAGAAGGTGCTGACCCATCTAGTTGTCTGCTTGCGGCCCATTCAGGGTCTTCTTCTTTGTATACTGGACACTCTCTTTCCCAACATTATTAACATATCAATATGCCATTATACCAAATATGAATGAGGTTCTTTGAATTCACAGATTTCATTTTTATAAGCAGTCTTAATGTAAAAAAGCATATTTCCACAATGAAATGGGCTAGATACTTTTTTAATGAAAGCAGAGAAACTCATGCATATTTTGGTATAATGGTATATCAATATAAGGCTATTAAACCATTAATAAAAAATACTATCAAGAATACCTTCTGTCACCACTGTGCTGTATTAGCAGCCACAGAAGTAACATGGAAACTACACAAGCCTGTGGCAGTGTGGGAAACACATATGATCTGATAGAGCTAGTGTGGCATGGTAGTTAAAGTGATGGACTCAACCCTGAAGTTCACTAGATGATCCTGCACCAATCACTGTCTCTTAACGTATCCTACTTGGCAACTGAGAATAAAATGAAGGCAAGGAGTCCCATATAGCCATCCTGAGCTCCTTGAAGTATGTGCATGGACCATAGACTGTAATTGATCAGAACAAGAAAAAAATACAGACATTCGTGTGAATTTGTCTGCAGATACTGAACATGAGAAAATGGTGGTCTAGAAATCGGTCAGTGTTTGATACTTCAATGGAACTATCTAACCCTCTGATATACCAGTTTAAAGACTTGCAGAGAGACTTTGCAGCATGTGCCAAGAGATCAGACCTGTCTCATGGGTAGCCAGCTATTTAACTGCATTGGGACAATATTTGCCAACCTACTTCCAATGGCTTTATTGCTCCATCTTGAGCACTAAATCTTTTAAAATCCCGGAGTACACTAAAACTGCAAGAGTGCAGTAGCTATGCAAACTAAAGCCTACATGCGGCAAGAAACATAGGCCCTTTTCAAACTGCCTTTGTATTCCGTTCTAGTAACTGGTTGCTAATATTTTTTCTGTCATTTCAGACAGACCTATTTTAGTAATCGGATGCTTATGGAATTTATTTACCTGTTCATAAAAACCCACTTGCATCAGTTAGCAAAGCGAGGTTGTGCCACTTTTGAGGGAAATTGCTGTTATTCATTTTCTACCCCTTCATTGTGCTTCTGAATCACTGTGGTGTGCTGTTTAAAATTTCCATAGTGCTGCTTTCCCCCCTGCCCTTTTTGCCATGCAGTCTTCCTCGGACTTTTTAATGTTCTAAATTGAGCGCTAAACCAATATAGCACAATTAAGATGCCTTGACTTCATTTGGTGCAGCTATAACACTGAAGTGCTATATTGATTTAGCGCTATAGCACTCAACTTAGAACATTCAAGAAAAGTCCAAGGAAGATCATGTGGCAAAAAAAGGGCAAGGAGAAAAACTGGCACTGTTTGAAATGACCATAGTGCTTCAGAGACAGCTCATTAACAGAAGGAAATTCATTGTATGATACACCCATCCCTGTATTGCTTTACTTGAAATCGAGCCAGCAGTGAATATCATCTGGTTTAGAAAGGTGATGTGAAAAGGGCCATATAGTATGTAATTGACCAGTAGCTGAAGCAGTTGAAGGGCCAGGTTCCTGTTGGTTTTTTTCCTGAGGGTCTCCTCAGTATGGGTTGTATCCTTCAAAGAACCAGCTGTCTTCTTACCTTCAAATCCAAAAGTTTAGCCATTTGAATCAGATTGCTTCAGACACCAGCAAAAGCTGTCAAACAATATGGAAACATAACAGGCTTTGTAGAACTTTATCGCACTTAGGGATTAGATCTGAACCTATACGAACAGGAAGGATGCTGTCTATTTTCTAATATGAAACAAAAATCCAGATAGATATCTATCTGAGGACATGGGCTGTGCTCCATGACAGCTTATAATGAAATAAATGCTGTTAGTTTTTAAGGTGTCACTGAATTTTTGTTTTGTTCTGCTGTGTTATAGTAACATAGGTATCCCTTTGCAATTGTCTACTTACTACCTACTTGTTCGAGAAAGGTAATGTAAAGAGGTAGCTGTTTCCTGTGCATGCTCTGGTTATTTCGTGTAAAAAATAACTCATCTCTGGGGAAATAAAAAAGACCCAGCTGTACAATTTGCTTTCAGAATGAGAAAGTTAATGAATTTAATTTAAATGCCTGTTTGGTTGAAGAACAAATGCACACTAGTTCTCATTTATGACAATGTACTTGTTGTTCAATGTGACTTCAATAGTGTGTTTAGATTTTCTTTGCTTATGGTGATTGTGCTAATCTTTTTAGTAGACATTATACAAATGGCAGGTATTTTGCTCAGCAGGTTATACAATGGAAACAAAGGGTAGGTGATTTCTACCCACTGAATTTTCCTTTAGGAACTTTGCTGATGTGCAGTGGGCATTTCTGGCTTTATTAACAAGTCACCTCAACAAAGCACAATCCATGGCTATTCTGTGTAATTAAAAGTGTCTTGTCATGAAACACGAGTAAACAAAGGTATCTTTTTTCTAATGGACAACAGAGATGAAGTTTGTCTTTGGTCTCTTTAATAAACCAGGGAAGAAATGAAATCACTCCAGGAGGCCTTTCAAAAACAGCTTCATGAAGCAACTGAAAAGGCAGAAAAACAGCAGGCTACAGTGAGTAATACAATCCTTTTCCTTACTATTTTCTTCTAGCTTTCCTTTACCTCCCTCATTTGCAAATGAGTGAAATATTTGCATGAATAGATTGAAGGGTATGTATTACATATATTTTATGTGCAGGGATATTTGGAACACTTGTGGGAGCAAATAATCTAATTGGGAAGACCATAAGAAGAGCCCTGCTGGATCAGACCAATAGTCCATCTAGTCCGGCATCCTGTCTCACACAGTGGCCGACCAGTTTCTTTGTATGGTTAACAACAGGGCATAGAGGCTGAGGCCTTTCCCTGATGTTGCCTCCTGTCTCTGGGATTCAGAGGATAAGGACCTCTGAATGTGGAGGTTCCCCTCAGTCATTATGGCTAGTAGCCATTGATAGACTTATCCTCTGTGAACCTATCAAATCCTCTTATTCCTGTGGCCATTACTACATCCTCTGGCAGCAAATTCCACATTTTAATTATTCTCTGTGTAAAGTAGTATTTCCTTTTGTCCATCCTGAACTTACTGCCCATCAGCTTCATTGGATGCCCATGAGTTCTACTATTTGGGAGAGGGAGAACAATTCCTCTTTGTCAACTTTCTCCACCCCATGCATAATTTTATAAACCTCTGTCATGGCCCCCCCCCCAGTCATCTCTTTTCTAAACTGAAAAGTCCCAGACTCTTCAGTCTTTCCTCGTAGGGAAGGTGCTCCAGCCCCCTAATCATCTTGGTTAGGCATGTACACTTGGTACATACCGAGCCGAATAAATACCCCCCAAAAAATCTTATCAGTATTTTTCAGGTACTTATTCAGCCAAATACAGATCAGAGATCTCATCCATCCATCCATCCATCCATCCATCCATCTGAGATGGATTCAGCTACTGAAATAGTCATGCCCAAATAAAAGTTGATATTATTCGTCTTTTATTCGGACATGGCTAAACTCACCGAGTTGTGCTTGAGTGAACTCAGTGGAGTTTCAACCCAGTGAGTGATTTAACTCAGTGAGTGAACTCAAAAGGGATTTAACCTTTAAATGCTTGCTGAGCTCACTTGCAGAGTTGTACCGTGGTGGCACAGCTCAGCAAGTGAACTCAGCAAGCATTTAAACTTTAAGTCCCTATAGGGTCTAAGGGAGCCAAATAAATTCAGGTTTCTTGAATATTTACCTGAATTCCAATACAAAACCAATATTGGTATCCAGGAATATTTGGAATACTGATATTTTTTGGGTCCAATAGACCTGACCCCCCCCCCAAAAAAAGATTTTTTTTGCACACCCCTAATCTTGGTTGCCCTCTTCTGTACTTTTTCAAGCTCTTATGGTTATTAATGAATCTGAGGTTTAAGAAACATCATTTTTCACTTACAATATGAAGATTCCTACCACTTCCTTTCAGGACATCAGGGATCATCATAATGAAAGTTGTGGAGGACATGGCCATCTTGATATTTAAATCATGGTCTTTCTAGTTAATTCCATTTGGAAGGTTTTGCTCCTTTCACAGATGCCGATTATCACTTTGCTTTTTCTTAATTGGACATGTTAGTATACAGAAATATCCAGTCCGATTCCTCAAAAGCAGTTGTTCCACCCTCAATCGCCCATTTCCCCCAGTTGTACTGCTCAATTTCCCACTATTTGCTGTGTGGCGGCATTTTGACCCGCATCTTCCCCTGATTTCCCCTGCATCTTCTTGATCCTTATTTTTTAGGAAATCTTTAATTAATACATAAAAGACAACACTTTTTAAAAAAGATATACAATATCTACATGTTAAAACATACATGTTAAACCCAATTCATAATATTAATTCAGATCAGCACTAATGTCTGCGCCATTAAATCATGTACAGTTCACCAGTCTCTCTAACCCTAGTGCTATTTTGCAACTTTTAAAATGTGAAGAATAGCACCACATGTGCACCTTTAAAAACTACAATTAGTCCAAGCAAATCTATTTTTCAGTACAGTATATGGAAGGGCAGTGTCTCTTTTTTAGTAGGAAATGATGTGCAATTAAACAAATGTCAGATAGTGGCTGGATCCCATGGATCTGTTCTGCTGCGGCACCTTCCCCCAATGCAAGTAAAATAAATACTGGTGTCATGGGACGATGCCTTACACAGGAGAAAGTGCCATAATAGTGGAACAGATCTATGGGGTGTAATCCATGATGGCCAATGACAAAAACTGATTCAGAAATCGCAAAAATGCAGCAGGAAGTGGATTGGAGGGGGAGGAGAGGGAGAGAGAGAGATATTTTCCTTCTTGTCCAGTAGACCTGGCCTTCCCCAATAGCAACTTTAATCCTGGGGAACAGGAGACCTTTAGGGATAGAATGAGAGGCACACTGGGAATCTGCAGCAGGAAGAGGAAATCACTGGAAATTACTTCACACTTCAATTAATGTAAAAGTTAGTCTGAATCCTACCCAAAGGGATTAGAAGCATTTTATGATTGCATTGTAAATATCTTAATATGCCAGCTGTATGTTGTTAATGTTTCCAAAAGGAAAAAAACCCACAGTTTAAAGCTCCACATTCCTTCAGTTGGGTATGAAGGCTCACAATCATCTTCTTCCTGATGATTTGATTTACAATTTCCTCACTGATGTTTGATTCATGAGACAGTACTGCCCAAGATGTGAATTTCATCCACTATCTAAAGACATGATTGCTGATTGTAATTTCTGGTGCAACATTAATCTTATTCCAGATGGTTGACATAAAACTTCTGTCTTTTTCAGGCTAATAATTAGTTTGAAATGCATACATCTTGGGGACGTGACTGAAATTTGTTTTCATTGTCCTCTCAAGATATAGCTGCCAAGGCACAGTCATCCAAAAACTGTAGTTCATTGATTCTAAATAGGGGCTGTATGGTCCCCCTAGAACAATCTACATATCTTAGGGGCATTCAGAATTTTCGAGATAAATGGTATTTTAGTCAGCCTGTTTCTTTCATTTGCAATTTGCCATTTGCAAAAAAAAAAAAAAAAGAGTTGTTTTATACAACTCACACCTTCATCACTTCTCTCCCAAGTTCTAAAGAAGTAGCACACAGAAAATAATAATAAAAAATAACATTAAGGAGTTGGCTGTCGGGCTCAAGGGCATCTTTCAGTGCATGCCTGCTAAGTGTGTATCATATGCACTCATCATAAATATACCCATATAAAGCAGCCTTGTCTGATGTGCTGTTTTTATGTCCTATACAAGGTCATTACCACATCGGTCATTTATTTTCAAACCTTTTCCTAATTGCCCCTAGAGTGTGGGTCTTTTCAGTTTAGAAAAAAGACAATGGGGGGCATGATAGACGTTTATAAAATTATACATTGGGTAGAGAAAATGTGTAAAGAGAGATTTTTCTCCTGCTATTGTACTATAACTTAGGGGCATCCAGTGAAGCTGATGGGCAGTAAATTTAGGAAGGAAAAATGGAACTACTTCTTCACTAAATGAGTAATTAAATTGTCAAATTCACCTCCTGTGATATAGTGATGTTTGCTGAACACTGTCAACTAAGGGAGATGCTGGAGGTGTGGACAGTTAATTAAACATCATGCCAATGGTGCAACATCACTTCTGGCACAAACACAGGAGTGATGTCACTATGTCAGGCTAATGCTATAGGAGTCACTTTAAATTCAATGGTAAACCATAAATTTTTGGATGAATCCTAGAGCATAAGCCTACACAGTAATGTCACTTTCAGGTTCATTCTGGAAGTGACATGATGTTGCAACTTTGTCTCCCCCCCCCATGGTTTGCTTCCACATCTTCATCAAGTAGCAGCAGATGGTACCTGGAGCTGGAGACCTGGTAATCCTATTGCTATCATAGACGACAGATTAATTGAGAATAAATTCATCAAAAGCCTCCAACCACAAAGTGAACTTCCACATCTGGATGCTGTAAATAACTAATTGCCAGTGCTAGGAGGCAACATCAGGGGAAGGCCTTGGCCTCTTACCCTGTTCATTGGCTTTCCAGGGCAATTGGTTGGCCACTGTGTGAAAGAGGATGCTGGACAAGAAAGACCATTGGTCTGATTCAGCAGGGAACTGCTGACATTATTATATATTTTTTAAACTTACTAAACTTAATTATACATTAATGTATAAATGATCTCATGTGGTTGAGCCCTCTCATTAAACCGTTTGTATGGGCACACTCTTGTAGTGGCAGCTCCAGGATTATGGAACTCCATCCTCAAGGAATGATGAAGACCCCTATGCTGTTCATATTCTATGAGAAATGTAAGGCCATTTTTTTTAGTTGGATGTTCTCCAATTAATATAATAACAAAGATGTTATTTTGATTTGTGTTCTCTTTAAAATAATTTAGTTCTCTGTTACCTGTGAGTCAGGGAAAGGTGGCATATAAATATTTAAATAATTCAAATTAACAAATATATAAGGATTTTTGATAACAATGTTGTGCACTTAATTGGTGATAATGGATTAAAAGTTAAGAACCGGAGCCATTTCTGTAAGTTGTAGTTTGTACCCTTTTCGGGTTAAATGCATTACACTCTGTCTTAAATATCATACTTTCATAGTAATGTCATAAAAGTTTTTCAGAATCATAGTGACAAGTATTGCAATAAAAAGAGTTAGTGCAAGGATATGCCTCTACTTGTCTCCATCAGTTACAGAAAAGACTTGAGAAACACACTTTTTTGTATCATTCTTCACAAAACATCCTCATTTTGGGAATAAATCTGTCTGGACTACTAAAGTAGGAATCAATTTCAGAATGCAGTTCCCATTAAAAAAGTGTCACTACCCACATTATACCCTTTCTATGTGCTTTCGTCTCCATGTTAATATCCTGATATTTGGAGAAAATACAGTCATTTCTAAACAAGTTATGGTCACGTGTTTGGTAGTGCCTGCCTACCCCATGTTTCTGTGTTTCTACTGCAAATTATGGTGCTCAGGCTGGAGGCTACCTGTGAAAACACAGCCCTTTACTGACAACATTACACATTCAATGTG